GAGGGCACTGACTGCAGTGAGTTTGCCTTTGGTAGACATATTCTGTCTTCGGTAGATATTGTAAGTCTATATATATATATAGAGAGAGAGAGAGAGAGAGAGAGAGAGAGAGAGAGAGAGAGAGAGTACTGACAGGGTTCACGGCGCCAGTGTCAGCACTCGTCTACAGTAGAAGCCAGTCAGAGGGTGGTTTATCATTGAGCTCCTAAGGTACAGTATAGGGCATAGGCAATGCCAGCACTAATCATCGAACCGTCTGGGACTCACTTTTGACTGTAACCAATCAAGGTCTCAACTCTCAGCCCTCTAGCCTGTAAGTTAGCAAGCCCCAAAGGGTCCAAAGTACCTTTATGGTAGAATGTAGGGTTTCTATAGTAGGAATTACTATTATGATTTGGGGAAGTATTCCCCATAGCAGTACCTAGGACCCTTTGGGAGCATTACACTCCAGGATCCTTCACCCTGGCGAGTCCTGCAAGCGTACCTTCGGGCTTAGAAACCGCATAGGCCTTTGTCTACAGGGCCGATGCCATCTACTTCAATCAGCCCTTACACTAAACCTGATCCCTGCCATCTGGTCCCTCTCCAAAGGTTTTATTTACACCCCAAACCCAAATCTGAATCCTCTCTCAGCCTTACATCTGAAGCCTGTCTGAATCTGTTATAAGTTACAGTAGAAGCCTGAAAGTTGGAACATCATTATCCTCATGCCCTGAAGGTAAAGTTACCTTACTTAATTGTAACCCTAGTTCCTAAGTCCCATGATCCTTTAATTAAGAGGCCAAAGCCACCGACCAGGCCGGGCTAACTCCGGTGGTCCCTATCGATTGGCACTGAAAGGCCGCGGACGGGAGGCGAGGGCCTCGGTGTTTTTGTTCGCTTCTTTGGTTATGCGGGCTTTACCGTTTGGGGTTTGGTTTTGAGTTTGGTTTTGGGTGGATATTCTTGGTTCTGCATGGTTCAATTGTACAGTAGACCAGGAGTTTGTGCAAGGGCTGCAGGGCATCTAGGGATTGAGAAGCGTTTTGGGATCAACGGTTTCCGGATGCATGCGTACTGCATGGACATGATCGTCACATTGCATGCTCATACTTGCTTTTGGATTGCGTGGTTTCGAGAGAACCCCAAAGCCCACAAGCGAGCAACATACGAAGCGATCCTGAACCTATGAAACCTATTGCAGCAAGTCGGGGTTCGGTGCGTTGTCCTTGTTGGTCTTGTTTTGTCGATTGCTTCGAGAGATCTGCAGTTGCTTCTTCCATGGCTGCAGGATCCTTCAAATCGGACCCACTAAACCCCAAACCCTAAGCCCTTTGACCCAGCACCCTAAACAAACCCTAAATCCTTGGTGTTGTGAAACTTGGTCGTTCCGATATTTTGGCGACTGCGGGCGGCTCCCTTAGAACAAGGTCTTCCAAGCGAGGACTCAGTGACTCAGGGCTCTCGCATGGGGCATTCAGCGTTTTGTTTCTTTTTGTTTTTCTGTAAGGTGTGTTTTCAGGGAAAGGGGGATCGTCTGTCATTGTTAGTATTACTGTTGTTGTTGTTGTTCTTCTTCTTCTTTTTAGTATGTGGGTCATGCCTTAGACTGTTGTGGCGCGAACGGTCACAGCTTGTCTGGCGTACCATGAGCGCGAAAGGGTTTAACTGGAAACTGTAAGCCCCGAACCTTGGACCCCACAGGAACTAAGCAGCTTGCAGGACCCACGCCGTATTCTTCTTTTTGTGTCATGATTTTCCCCATGTAGAATCAATGCGGCGAGAGTATGCTTCCATACAGTATCGCATATATTCATACAGACATGGTCGGATATTGATCTACTTCGTCAAAGGCTGCCATGTACCGTTGCATGAGATATTGAATCGTTGCATGTTGTTGTCACTCCACCCTTCAGGCCCCCTTGCTTTCAAAGAGGACGTGCCTTACCCAATCGGAGGAGGTTCACGTTTCCATCACTCCTGATGACCAGGCCTCTCTCCGAACACACCGCTGGCCAGGTGTGGGGCGTGCAGTGCGTATGGCAGGGAAGGTGGCCACAAATGCTGGCATCTAATGCGGCGTTTTCGCTGCGTGCGTTTAGCACGCCAGTTCGTTCGAGGTCTCCCGATCTGCCTGTTGCCTTTGGGGCCAACGTGTGCGGACATTTTTTCGCACATATGACAGCAGAGCGTATGGGCTAAGGCGTCTGCTGGGGGCAATCCGCCGTAATAGGCCGAGCCGTTTCACTCACGGCGGTGCGCACTGCTTGTAGGGAAGGCCCTTCAACTGGGGTTCTCAAGCCGTCTGCATCGTGGCGATTACCGGTTTTAGTAGCTTTAGTCGCTGAGACTTGCAAGTGCCAGTGATATTGCTTTTTTTATAATATGTATGTCTATTACACACATATATACAAACACATACATATGTCTATCTACATCCATATAATATTTATATGTATGTATGTATGTATATATATATATATATATATATATATATATATATATGTCATGCTGATTGCTGCTTCAGTTGTACAGTTGGATGTGAGTTGCCTTGACAGCGTGCTATGATTGCAATTCCGATTGGAGTGCCGGCTCGATACTGACCCGAGCATCCGCCCTACCCAGCCATGAGCTTCAGCGTGTATTCTTTGGCACAGCTGTAAGTGTACATGGTCACACCGCTGGCCGTGTGTGGGGCATGCAGTGCATTGTGGCACCGGAGCCGCCATGTCAGCTGTTGATTCGAAACAGGACATCAGCGGCTGGCTGCTTAGGTGTCTGTTGCCTTTGGGGCCAACGTGCCAGGGAGATTACTCCGGGCATATGACAGCAAAGCCAATGGGCTAACGCGTTTGCTGGGGGCAATCCATCGTCTGAGGCTGAGCCGTTTCACCGACAGTGGCATGCACTGCAAGAGGAGGGAAGGCCTATCTGAATCTGTCATCAGTCTGTGTGAGTGGTGTGAGGCTGTTCTGAATGCTGCCGCCCATAACAGCACAGTATTGACGCAAATCTAGACCTCTTCGTTTCGAGTGTCAGAATGTACGCGGCTTGGATATGTCTGGGACGCGAGACGGGCATCCGACTTCGTCAGGATGCCTCTTGCGAAGCTTTGAATGCTGGACGAGTTGCACTTTTGGCCACTGCCTTCTGAAACACCAGGTGCATTAGAAATGCTTATTATATTCAGTCAGTTGAAGATCTGCTAGGAGCAAGCCTATCAGATGGCCAGCGGCACGCAGTCCTATTGCTTGCAAGACCAAGGATGCCAATTGGAAGGCCTTGCTGCCTTGCTGTCTCATTGCGTCTGCCTGTCATTTCAAGGAGGGGTGGATCAGCATCGAATGTGTTGACAGCAGATGCACAGCATGTTGAGCTGCTCTGTGGAAACTGCAAGGCAGTAAACATCCATGAGACACGACGCTAACGTTCAGGCACGCATCATGTGTAGACTTCCCATCAGCTCTTCTTCCAATATGTTCTTTCCCGAAGTTCATGCCCAAGCGGTCGGTCAGGCCTCAGCCCCCACTTCCCTTCGTTAAGGCAGCGGACTCCTTGTAGAATCCAAAAGACAGTTCGCAATCGAGCACGTATACCTACTGCAAGCCCTGCAGCATCCATAGCCTGGAAAAGTTGGTTATCTTCACAATTGCATTCGGCGCCTTCCTCGAATACTACAGGTTGGCATTTTTCGTATCGCATGTTTAAATAGAAGGACTCTCAGAGTACGGTGATTGCTTCTGTGACTCTATATTACAGCATCCATCGATCTCTATATGCAAAAACGTATAAAGATGGGGAGCAGCATTCTCTGTAATCAGAGATCATCCTAAGCCGAATCAAGCGTATCTGAAGCTTGAAGCAGGTCGTAGCTACCTTCTTCGGCCTGCTTCCCGAGGTGCGGTTGAGAATTGACGGTCTTTCGTAGCTCTTTATTTGGCTTGAGAAGTCCAGGACTTTGATTTGAGGCTTCAGTTGGAGCTAACTTTTGCATTTTGTTGGGCCCAGGGCCTTTCTTCAGGGTTCAGGGTCTACAGATATGCTCGACAAGCGTGACGGAATAGCATCGATAGGATTGCTATTGCGGCCTGCCGCCATCATACGTTCACGTCTGTCAAAAGGTGCTTCCGATTGCTGCTTAGGTTTAGTGTAATTAAACACCAGGGATGCGTCCAGCCGAATGAAGAAATGCCAAGCACTGCCGAGCACGTGTCGGGAGCTTTCAACCAGCCTCAATGTTTCCCGAGCGTAGTGCAGACCGCGGTAGCCTGTAGCCTTGTTGAAGCTTCTTGACGAAACCCGGGTGTTCATGAAGAGCCAAGTATACCGTCAAACTGAATCCCTTCGAATCCTTGCGGCGCGCCTCGGGCTCTGTCATGCAGAAGGGCTGTTCTGCAGATACTGTACGGTGGCATTCCCTCTGCGGACACCGCCTTCATGAAGCGAGTGCAAGACTTCGCATCTCATCTCTATAAACTATAAACCCTATTCTTTTGGCTCTCTTGCTGCAGGCGTCCATCCGTGTCACCTACTTCGGGGTGCTGCGCTTGAGGCTGGGTCTGAGTTGTTTGAAGCGGGCTTTTCCTGTACGTTTTGCGAGGTTTTCCCTGTCTCCATAACTTAGATCTGAGGGATGCATGGCTCCACCGGTGCCCTCCCTGCGGCAGGTGGCGTGACAGCGTCCTGCATCTCGCCTGAGAATGTCGAAATTCACATCTTCAGACTGGTGATGATGAGGGCCTCAACCTGAAACACGAGGATGTAGCTTCAAAATTGTGCCCCAAAGAGGAGAGTGGCATACCTCATTGACAGGGCTTGTGAGCTCAGGTATCTGATCACGGCGGCATCCCCATTTCAGCAGAACAGGGCGTCCAAGATGGAGGCTGGAGTGTTCTGCATGGGATTGGGCTGCGCACTCCTCTGGCGCCAGAGTTTGGCACAACAACTCGCAACACTATCGCTTCTCAAGGATTTTCGCCGTGTAGCCAGCAGGTAGCCAGCACAGTGCCCTTTCTGTTGCAATGGCGTCGAAGGCTTCCCAGATGCTTGCAGCACTTCTCGCTTCGGCTCTGATCGGATCTTTCGCAAAGCCCGTGGGCAACCTGCGAGGGGCTGACGGAGCGAAGGACAGCGGGCTGGAGGTGCCAGACGTCAGTGGGCTGCCGGACACACCCGGGCCATACCAAGAAGAGCCCAACAACACGGATGCTGAGAAACCCAAGGCAGCGATGGTTGACTGGAGAGCTCAGGTTCCAAATGCCACCCAGGGCAGTTTGGGAAGTCTGCTGTCGTTGAGTGCCTGGCAAGAGCACCAGTTCTGCAATCTTCACAAGACGGGCTTCTTCTGCGAGAACTCCACACGGATTCGCTGCTGCAAGTTGGAGGATGGCTACGCCAAATGCGGCTCCACTGCTAACTCCAGCGCCTGCAGTCAGCAGAAGTTGCCCGAGGAGCCCAAGTCCAAAATGCTGAAGACGGGTGCCGGCTGGTGGCATGGCATGCCTGGCTTCTGGCACATTCACCCGGGCTGGCACGTCAGCAGCTTCTGCCAGTCGCACCATGTCGGCTCCTTTTGCCGCTCCCACCACGTCATCCACTGCTGCAATGACTACGGGCATTTCGTGGAATGCAACACCCAGTACCATGACAGTGGCTACTTCTGCTAGCGGCAGTTTTGTTGCACGATCTCACTGCGGCCACATGCCACGCCCTGAATTGAGGCTTAGGCATAGGTCACGGCCGCAAGTGGATGTGTAAAGTGGGCAGTTCACAGACTTCCCATGTTGACATTGTAAAGTGTACAGGTTCGGCTCCGTCCGATCCCGAATTGAAGACGCCCCAGAATCGGGCTTTCTTTTGCTTGCAACGTTGAGACATGAACACAAGGCGCTTGTTGTCTGAAAGATGACTGCGGTGCTATAGATCAGTCTCCACAGAGGCTCCAGGCCTCTTCGGCGCAATGGGAACGCTAAGATATCTTAAGTCTTAAGTGCTCGAAACTCCCATGCCAAAATCCAGCGGAAGTGTTACGTGCCCGTAGAAGTCAACCCGCTAGCTCCCCTTTGAGACTCTCCAGTTTCGATCATGTCTTAGAGCCTTGTAGCCGTAGTTCTGCGACCTTCCACGTGCTCCGGGGCTGACAGGGCTGCGCACCCCTCTGGCGCCAGAGTTTGGCGCAACAGTTCGCAACACTATCGCTTCTCAAGGATTTTCGCCGTGTAGCTAGCAGGTAGCCAGCATAGTGCCCTTTCCGTTGCAATGGCTTCGAAGGCTTCCCAGATGCTTGCAGCACTTCTCGCTTCGGCTCTGATCGGATCTTTCGCAGAGCCCGTGGGCAACCTGCGAGGGGCTGACGGAGCGAAGGACAGCGGGCTGGAGGTGCCAGACGTCAGTGGGCTGCCGGACACACCCGGGCCATACCAAGAAGAGCCCAACAACACGGATGCTGAGAAACCCAAGGCAGCGATGGTTGACTGGAGAGCTCAGGTTCCAAATGCCACCCAGGGCAGTTTGGGAAGTCTGCTGTCGTTGAGTGCCTGGCAAGAGCACCAGTTCTGCAATCTTCACAAGACGGGCTTCTTCTGCGAGAACTCCACACGGATTCGCTGCTGCAAGTTGGAGGATGGCTACGCCAAATGCGGCTCCACTGCTAACTCCAGCGCCTGCAGTCAGCAGAAGTTGCCCGAGGAGCCCAAGTCCAAAATGCTGAAGACTGGTGCCGGCTGGTGGCATGGCGTGCCTGGCTTCTGGCACATTCACCCGGGCTGGCACGTCAGCAGCTTCTGCCAGTCGCACCATGTCGGCTCCTTTTGCCGCTCCCACCACGTCATCCACTGCTGCAATGACTACGGGCATTTCGTGGAATGCAACACCCAGTACCATGACAGTGGCTACTTCTGCTAGCGGCAGTTTTGTTGCACGATCACTGCGGCCACATGCCACGCCCTGAATTGAGGCTTAGGCATAGGCCACGGCCGCAAGTGGATGTGTAAAGTGGGCAGTTCACAGACTTCCCATGTTGACATTGTAAAGTGTACAGGTTCGGCTCCGTCCGATTCCGAATTGAAGACGCCCCAGAATCGGGCTTTCTTTTGCTTGCAACGTTGAGACATGAACACAAGGCGCTTGTCTGAAAGATGACTGAGGTGCTATGGACGATCAGTCTCCACAGAGGCTCCAGGCCTCTTCGGTGCAATGGGAACGCTAAGATATCTTAAGTCTTAAGTGCTCGAAACTCCCATGCCAAAATCCAGCCGAAGTGTTACGTGCCAGTAGAAGTCAACCCGCTAGCTCCCCGTTGAGACACCCCAGCTGATCATGTCTTAGAGCCTTGTAGGCACGTGCTCCGGGGCTGACAGGGCTGCGCACCCTCTGACAATTCGCAACATTATCGCTTCTCAAGGATTTTCGCCGTGTAGCTAGCAGGTAGCCAGCATAGTGCCCTTTCTGTTGCAATGGCTTCGAAGGCTTCCCAGATGCTTGCAGCACTTCTCGCTTCGGCTCTGATCGGATCTTTCGCAGAGCCCGTGGGCAACCTGCGAGGGGCTGACGGAGCGAAGGACAGCGGGCTGGAGGTGCCAGACGTCAGTGGGCTGCCGGACACACCCGGGCCATACCAAGAAGAGCCCAACAACACGGATGCTGAGAAACCCAAGGCAGCGATGGTTGACTGGAGAGCTCAGGTTCCAAATGCCACCCAGGGCAGTTTGGGAAGTCTGCTGTCGTTGAGTGCCTGGCAAGAGCACCAGTTCTGCAATCTTCACAAGACGGGCTTCTTCTGCGAGAACTCCACACGGATTCGCTGCTGCAAGTTGGAGGATGGCTACGCCAAATGCGGCTCCACTGCTAACTCCAGCGCCTGCAGTCAGCAGAAGTTGCCCGAGGAGCCCAAGTCCAAAATGCTGAAGACGGGTGCCGGCTGGTGGCATGGCATGCCTGGCTTCTGGCACATTCACCCGGGCTGGCACGTCAGCAGCTTCTGCCAGTCGCACCATGTCGGCTCCTTTTGCCGCTCCCACCACGTCATCCACTGCTGCAATGACTACGGGCATTTCGTGGAATGCAACACCCAGTACCATGACAGTGGCTACTTCTGCTAGCTGCAGTTTTGTCGCGCGATCTCACTGCGGCCACATGCCACGGCCTGAATTGAGGCTTAGGCATAGGTCACGGCCGCAAGTGGATGTGTAAAGTGGGCAGTTCACAGACTTCCCATCTTGACATTGTAAAGTGTACAGGTTCGGCTCCGTCCGATCCCGAATTGAAGACGCCCCAGAATCGGGCTTTCTTTTGCTTGCAACGTTGAGACATGAACACAAGGCGCTTGCCCTTGCTATCTGAAACAGGACTTGAAGTAAACCAAATTCGCTGATGCATGCTGACGTGCTGTGGATCTTTCTCCACGCCACCCACCGGTCACGCCGCGATGTCCTCTCCGACACACACAGCAGGTCAGAGGCTCAAGGCCTCTTCGGCACAGCCCAATGAGAATTTTAACAGAAGTTAACTGCTCGAAATCCGCACCCACTATTGACTACCGTCCGCGGAGGCCTTATATTTGCCCATAAGAGTCAACACCCCTAGCCCTATTTCCCATCTTCCAGATTGTGTCGACTCGACCCCAGTCTCGCTCCTGTCTGAGATAATCTTATTAAACTATTCGGCTCGTTGACCGGCCATGGCCCCAGTGGAGCTTTGGATCAGCGCCGAGCGCACCACATTAGAGCTGCCGGACGTGTCCCTCGGCGCGATAACATGGGAGGGGCCTGAAGAGTTGGTAAATGCTCTTGATAATATTCTCTTCTAGTCCATCATCGTCTACTTAATATACTGATCGTATGACCCCAAACAAAGTTCTATGATATTAAGGCCCCCCATAAAACGGAATACAAGCTTTTCTGATCAGAATCAGATTAAGACACTCACACACTGCTGGCTAGCGACTGAACGCGCTGCTAGTTATTAAGAACCAGTTATTAGCTATCGACGAGAGTCGTGGTTGATTTAATTTGCCATCAACATGATCACCATCATCATCATCGTTATCATCATCCGCACGTTCATCACACTGATGCATATCATTAATTAAACAGCTAAGTATAGTCGTAGTCACGTAGCAGCAGCATAGCTCTGCCCACGTTTCGTTCTGCGGTGAATCGCCGAGTCCAGGAATGTAGAAACGCTCCGCGAAGCTCTGGCCAAAGAGCCCCTTTGTCGCAATGTTGCCGTGCTTGATGTCGTTGTTTGGAAGCTTCGGGAGCTTAGCAAGTGCATGTCTCCAAGCTTGCCATGGACGGTCCTTCCGTGCTACGATATATGACCGAAACCCTAACCCCCACCCCCACCCACACACAGCCCTAAGCATCGCCAAACCCTAACCCGAACCCCTATAGGCCATCCCAGACCTACATTCCCGCATTACCAGACACCCCATCTATCCGTGACATCTAAGGCATGGCATCCCGGCCCATTGTCAGCTCTTATCTTCTGATGTGACTGGCCTAAGATCTATGGTGGGCATGTATCTTGAGGTTGTATATGGCTTCCGCACTCAGACTTTTCGGGATCTTTGCAGAGTCTTCCAGACTCCTCAGCGGACCTCTGGGCTTGAGCCACTGCAGACTCAGACAGACAAGTTAGACATTCCATCACTTCATCTGATGTTTGAGGCGCATAATCGGTCTTCCCCAGTACAGTATCTATGACTTCGAAGCTGAACTTTTCTCGGTGATCAGGCTGAGGTAACGTACCCGAAGCTCCAAAGAATAGCCCGTAAAGCCTCGGCACTAGAAAAGAGCGACAGCTTCCACCACAAAGGGAAGATGTGCAACCTCGCTCCCCTAAGCCCCGGCACCCCACAAGCCTAATGGCCCCAATCTCCTCAACTCTGAGATCCTTGCGAGTGTCTCGCCCGAATTGTCCGCAGCGACTGCTCACGTAAACAGACATAAACCCCTAAACCCGGAACCCAAAGCCCCGTCCCGAATCGGCCATGTCTGGTGCAAGCTGAGTACCCCAGGGTCGACCTTTCCTGGAGAGCAAGGGACCACTCCCTGCCGACCCGCTGCACGTGCAGGAGCTGGTAAGTAGAATCCAGAATTCTTATGAAAACCAACCCTATGAACCCTACAAACCCTAAACCCTTTTGAAGGGGGTTTGGGATGGGAGACTCCGGGCTCGCATTCTGGAAGGTTTGCGGTGAGGTGTTGGGCTTTGGGGATGAGGAGGTGGGGGATTTGGGGCTGATGAAAGGGCTGCAACAACATGAGGGTCTGAAGAACGATCTTTCGTACTATCCCTTCTAGCCAGCTTCCATAAACTGGGTGATTTAGCTGTTGGCCTGGATGGCTCGCACTGCGTTTGTCTCTGCTGCACCTTAGCACCAACAAGGTTGCAAACGATTCACAAGGGAAAGGCGACGGGACCCCTAAATCCTCAAGCCTGAAACCCTTAATAGACCCCACAAGCCGCAGCCATGTAAAAGCCAAGCCCGCTGGACCCCTGAGCCTTAAACCCTAAACCTTATAAGCCCCAAACCCGAAAACGCAGCCCTTAAACCCTTAGCCTTAGGCTCTAAACCCGAAAAGACCAAGCCCCGAAACCCTAAAACGCCAGAACCTTAAGCGTAAATCCAAATCGCAAACCCAAAGCGTGAGGACTTGGGGCGACTTCGGCCGAAGAGGTCGGCCCTAGCCTCGGCTTGAAGGGTTTCAGCCAGCGCTGGAACCCTAGGAACCAGAGTTCTAAAGTGCTCTAAATAAGGAGCTATACGTAGAGTGACTGACAAATATACAACTTCGGGCTTTAAAGTACGATTATGCAAAAGCCACACACGGGCAACTATACCTAAACCTATGCAGGTTGAAGTACAAGGTGATAGTGTGTCTGTGTGCGCGTGCTTTAGGGCCTGAGTGGTAGGGATGGCGAAAGCTTCAAGCCAAGACACGGCTTTGAGGCACAAAGCTTGAGAACCAGCGCCACGTTCCTACTTTCATGAACGTCGGTACTACGGTACTGTTAGAGTTGCAATCTTGCTGTTGCCATGACGGTCATGTTGGCTGTTCGTCGTCACCATCAATTGCAATGCTGCAAGATTACTACAAACAACCTGCCCAACAGGAGAGAGTATGGGTGCTTCCCCAAGCTGTGTTCAATACAGAAGCCTGAGTAATCATGTGTACTAGCCTCTAGGATCCTTCGTTGAAAATATGAGTATCTGTCTATCTCAGGATGGTAAGCTGGCAGAGGTCCAGCGCGTGGAGAAGACGGAGGCCTGAGCTTTCGGGTTCGAGGGTTTCGGGCGTTCCAGGGCTCAGGGGTCGGAACGGTTTAGGGTCTAGGCGATTACTATCATGGTCACGAGAGAGAGAGAGAGAGAGAGAGAGAGAGAGAGAGATCTGAGAGACAGGGCAAAGTTGAAGGGTTTAGGTGGTTAGGCAAGCGGGTTGAGAGACGGGTAGGCGCATGCTATGACACAGGATCTTCGACCACGGCTCGATTTAATTTGTCACTGTCTATCTAAATAAGAGAATCATACTGCTGTTGTTGACAGGGCCTCCAGCATAGCTCCGGCGAAATCTTCAGGAGCTCAACAGCACGAAACACCTGCAATTGTATTGCTCATAAGCCATTCAAGGCTCACTTTCAATTCCACAACCCGAAGCCCTGAACTCTGACAAAGCTGAGCTGAAGCGTCAGCCCGACTATCGTTGACTCCAAACTCGGGAATTCTGGTACCATGGGCTACTTGCGGAGGCCCAGGTACCAAGATCATGAGTTCCAAAGTGAAACTTTTACTCCCATCAATCAGGAGCGTGGCATCGCCCTGCAGCAGCTGAAGGCCTGCAAAGCTAGAAGGTCTTACAAAGCCCCAGCCCAGACTTCGGCTGTACGAAGTCGGTTCTTCCTTGATGCGGCGTTGTCATTGCTGATTCAGGAAGCCCTTGAACGATTCAATACCCTCCCCAGCCCTGTGGCCTCAAGCGCATCCTCACGTCGCGAAGCCACAATGACAATTGAGAGTTGCGATTCAGGCGCTGCTGGCTTTCGTTCAAGCCACCGCCGCCGAGGCCTTCATCCACCCTGTCTTGGGGGATAGCTCTTAATCTGTATACTCATACTTGGGCCACTGTGCAGTCTTAAGTTCCTGAGGCGACTGTTTGGAGCTTGGTTTTGTTGGGTTGGTGGGGCCAGGCAGCTGCATAGCCCGCCTGGCCTGGTTGATGTCAATGTTATGCTGTTTCTTCTTCTCTTCTATTAACGAGGCCACCATGGTAGTTCCAACAGATTGTCCGCGAGGCTGCCGTGTTCCCAAGTATTGCGTAATCTGACGACCACGGTGACGACGACAAACAACAAGAGCCATGAGCCTAACACTAATAGTAGAATATCAAATATGAAAACAGCAGTGCGACTAGAAAAGCCATGTGAAATGAGAGCACCGGTAGTACCACGACTAGGAGCAGCAAGAGACAAGGAGAAGCCACGCCTCCACCTCTGTGGTCAGAGCCTGTGGCTTGAGGAGCTGCTCCCATGGAAGGGCATGGATGGTGCCTGGATCCATTCGAAAAGGATGCCGCATGCATAAGAACTACGTTTGATGGTTCCGGGCGTTGGGATAGTTTAGGAGTTCAGGATTTGGGGGGCGGGTTCGGTTCGAGTTCGATGGTTTCGTCTTTGGTTTTTCTGGCGCTGAATTGTGAGGGACAGGATGAGAGGCTAGACTGGAGCTTTGTGTCTCTCGGCTTTAGCGCTAGGCAAGGTATGCTGGCGATTAGCTTCAATCCACAACCGAAGCGGTCTCGTCGCAAGACGCTCAATGGTTTCTACAAGATCAGATGCAGTCAGACACCGAGCGAGAATCAGACTTTGTTCCCGGATGGCCAAAGACTCACCATTTCGAAGTCCAGACTCCGATCCAAGCGCTGCGTCCCAATTCCCCACTCCTAGTCCGGAAACTCTTATAGGAGCCAGCCCTCCACCCGAGGAACCTCTACGACTGTACGGCGTGGATTATCAAGCCGGCGACGAGACCGGATCAATGCAGTCCCTTGGAGGCTTCAGCTGTTAGTGTAGAAGCCAAAGTATATAATTTCCAATATGATTCCTAGGATTCCTTATTGGAGTTATACTATAATGGACCCTACATACTTGTTAGGGCCCCTACATTAGGTTGGAGTGGCTTAGCACGCAAAGCTGGGACGCACAGCTCAGCATGGCATGACCCTCATACTGCGTATTTGCTTGCGGGAGTGCTCAGAAAGTCCCTGTAGAATCCTGCTATGCCGGAGGCAGATCCAAATCTGACCCCCCGAATCCTTGCGGTGCTTGCAGTGAAAGCGGGGCAACATGTTAGGGTTGGCGGCTCAGGGTTTATAATATAATATGGGGCCCAAGAAGTGCCAATGTCTTATGCTTTGCTCAGCCGATGTGTAGATTTTTGCCCCGTGCGACGATGTCAACCCCGGTGGCTCTAGAGTTCTGGTCGACCCTAAACCCTCGAACTGCGGTTGGAGCTCGTCCGAGGTTATGTGGAGCTCGTCACTGAAGATCCCGGGAGCCTGCATCTCAGAAGGGAGCGAATGTGGGAGCCTCTAGGCTCAGTATCCTCCGGAACAGGCACCGCCGACAGCATGTGTATCGCCATTTTGCGTCAGTGCAAAGACGTCTTGACAAATAGGAACAACCGTTGATAGAGTGATGATGAATCTTATACTTAGATGCATCGCATATTTACTGGTAGCCCGCTTAGACTGAGCACCTCACAAGCCTCGTGCAAGTAAAGTGAACCGGCAGAAGTACGACTTGTGTCACAGCAAGGAACTGAAGAGGAACAGCAAGACAGCATAAGCAGGAGCCGGCGGAAGGGATTGGGAGGAGGAGCAGGAGGAGGAGGAGGTGGACGACGACATAAGCCTACATCTGCAACCGAACTTCCAAGCCCATCTGCTAAGGCCAGAGGCCGAAATGGTTCGTTTCCCATGCCTGGTCAGAGCCGGTGCGGGCCCTTGCCGTGCGTTTGGAATGTTGGTTCTTGAGTGCAGGTGTGTAGGCGTTTTGTTTCGAGCTTAAGGATTAAGGGTTTATGTTCATTGGTAGTACAGCGCGCTTGCAGTACCAGGCCAAGGTGGAAGGGCGGTAAGTTTGCACAAAGCTAGTATTGTTTCACCTTCACCAGAACCTCGGTGACAAGGCATGTTGGCCTAGTTGATTTGGGGCATGACAGTCCCGCGTATAAACAGGGATTTTGCCGCTTGCAGGATGGATGACAGACTGACAATCATGATGCGCACGCATATGTGTAAGCGAACATGTTATCTACGCAAGCATACATGTGTATATGTATGCATACAGTCATATAGATACGGACACACAGCTGTGCGTGTAAGCGTGTGTAGCATGACCGGTTCGATCGCATTTTCTGAACATATACAGGTTACGGTATCAAAAGCGAAAGCTTTGTCAATAGCCAAAGCTTTGTCGGCGACAGGTTGCCAGCTTCGCCCAATGCCTGGAGCAGCATAGCCGGCTGCGGGACCTTGAGGACAAGGCGCAACGCAGCCAGAGATGTGGGTGGCTTTAGCGTTAGCCCAAGCTCTTATAAGCAGTTAAAACCAACAGCCCAAACAGGACCTGGAGTCTGCACGCAAGCGAAAGGGCCTTTGCCATTTGGGAGTTTCCGAAAATCAGGAATAACTTATTTTGGGGTCCTTGTAATAAGAATCCTCTTGTTTAGGGTACTCTATTAAGGTCCCGTATTTTCAGAAACTCTCATTTGTGCAGATTATTCTACTGTAGAAAGACAGCAGGCCCGCAATTTAGACTATTTGTCAACACTACCTTAGGTACTTCATATTGGTTTGCGGTGCTAGCAGGGCAGTTTGATTGTTTCGTTTCATTGTCACTTCGGATGACATGATGCCAGGATGCCTGGTGGGTGTGCGCCTATGCGGCTTGGCCTTGCGCTTGTGCCTAATGACCTTCTGTCTGGTGCTTAGTAGGAGCTGGGGGAATGGATCCCTATGGTAGTCCCGAAGTAATCCCTAATAATAGTCTCCATAATCCCTTCCCTCATTCCCTACTAAGCACCAGACAGACTTGGATTCAAAGTACCTCCAGAAGTCAAAGGCTGAAGGCCAGCCTTATTATATTACATTATTCTATATTACATTATATTGAATTATACTACTTTGCATTGTTATGATAGCACATTATTCTATATTCCATATTGTATCATAAGATGTTATGCGATATTGTACTGGAGTGTAAAGTCCGCTAATTCTCAACACCGATGTTTTGAGATTAACGTCCCTTGACAAGGATACCGGGGAATTCCTGACTCACCTTGCTGCCTGTCATACGAACTAGTTGTTCAACTCGAAGCTTGTGGGAAGGGTAAGCTCGAGGTGTTTCGATCGGAAGCTTTAACATTAACATTGCAGAACGGTTTCCGCATACAGCCGCAGGCTTGCAACCTTACACCCCAAGCCCTCAAATGCTAGCAGTTTTTGCTGTAGTCAAAATACCTAAATCTAAACCCTAAACCCTGAACCCTGAAGCCCTAAGCCAAGGCAAACAACCAGCACGAACTCGGCACGGATCTCACCCACGACCCCTTGCACAGCAGCTTCTTCCGGGCCATGTGCCTTTGTGAGGCCGACGGCAATATCGGGGCCTTCGTAATTAGACTAGGGTTTTTAGGGCCCATTATACTAAGTGATATAGGGGGCATCATGGCTACAATAGGGTTTTGGGGGGTATATGATGGTGTCATACTCTAGCTGCAAGGCTTTAGTGAGATTTGAGATCAGGCTTCAAGGTTCTCTTTGGGAGACCCAGCAGATGCTGTATTGAGGCAACTTCTGAAAGCCTGAGTTCGAGCACGACCTATTGCATGCTGGAAGTAATGCCAATGCAAGTCTGTGCTTGCAGGGAGTTTGCCCCCAATCTCCTCCAAAACGTTACATGCATATTGGAGCGTAATCAAGCAACGTCCACGTCTCGGAATCTTATCCGTGCTAGGGCGTGCTGCTGGTCTTGGATCAGGACGCCACGTGCTTCTGTCGCATTAGATGTTGAAGCTGACCTCCTGGATCTTCCAAGCCTGTATCTCTCATGTCTGGTTTGACATTCAACCAACATGTAGGCGATGCTTCCGTTTCTGCATCCACGTAGAAGCATGTCATGCAAGTCCAGTGGCATGTAATTCGCAACGTGGTTCGATGCGAGGTGCACAGGTGTAGATTTCATGTACTCCACCATGAAAGCACCACAAAAGTCTGGTATTTCGAACACCTGGCGATTTCCGTTCAAAGGCCCTTCCGGCGCATCTGGTGCTGCTTTGAGCAATCTATCGCGATCACCGCCACCCGTGAGAACCGGCTACTACTGGACATCAGCTCCTCGCACTCAGGGCAGACGCCTTCTGGGAGTTTGTCTTCGTTTGATTTGGGACTTTGGGCTTGGCCGGATATAGATTAATATCTGCCTCGGAGCTGCAGCAGTTTGTTCGTGACTGAGGTCACATACGAACAGGAGTCGTCTTAGGGATAGTAATTGAAAAGGAGTCAGTATTGATGACTACAAAAGCCATCGAAGCTGCAGGTAGTGTCCTGGCCGCAGCCGAGGCCACTGTCCAGAGTCCACTTCTCAAGCGGAGGTGATCACCGACGGGGCGTTTGGGCTGCAGTTGTTCGGCGCTACATTCCTACCAACGGGCAGCCCACGATTTTGTACGCTAAGCCAGACTAAATGCCTTAATCCACAACCCCTTAACCCCTTTAGCCGTACCTCTTGTGAAACTGAATGATAGGAAAAACGGCATAATACAGGAGCCTAAAATGTTAATTAGCAATGCTATTTTAGGGGTTCCTTATCGTATTTAGTTTATAGTTTACTATACCCCAAAGCCCTATTATGATTACTCAGGCGGATCCCATACTTTTCTTGGTTTCTTTTCCTCTGAGTCTACGCACTTTGCAGGCAGAGAAAGAGGTCATATATATATATATATGTATATATTACGTTCTATTACAAGAAATCAAACTTGTCACCATAGACTGTTTTGGTATGTGGTATCGGGTTAGAGAAGAGTGAACGGACATATCCATATCACCTAGCTTGCCAACAGATGCAAGTGAAGCGATCAACCTGAATTTGAAGCCGTGACGAACAGGGTTGCTGTTGCATACAACTCCTGTGGCTCGTGCTGTGTTCCACTCTACCCAGTAAACTGTTTCCCGCATCGACGCCATGTGTGGAGCTGAACTTCATGAGGTTCCGTGTTGTTGGACGGCCTGCCCACAGTTCATGTGCCGGTTTCATGAGTCTTATATGCCTGACAACATGTTTCTGAGCAAAACCAGGTGACGGTCACGGACTTGCGAGAGAAGAAGCGAACGATCTACCGCAACATTGACGGCTCCCTAGCTGCATCTCCGAAGTACGAAAAGGCCTGACTTTAAGAATGTGTCAGCATCCTTGTATGGTCTAAGATCCACTCTGGGGTGGACTCGCTACGTCGTTGCATCAGGGCTATTAGAAGTCAACACTTCTGTCTATCTGCGGTGGTTTAGATCGTAAGAGTAAATCAGGGAATTGGGTTGACTGTGCTCTAGTTATAAACAGGAACTATCGGGGACATTGTTACCGATTGTCCAGACTCCTATATCACCAGGAGCTGGTATGGGGAGCTAATTCCTGGACTTTGGCTTTGGATGGCTAGGGCTCCGTATTCGTTGGTTTTAACATTTTGATGGCGTTAATTACTATGTGCAGGTTGGTTTTTTGTTAGAGATGCCGGATTTAGTTTCGGCTGGCGCGTTTTAGGTGCGATAGATGAACTCATTCGAATGATGGCAAGCACCTGAGGCTACGAGGACAGCGTCAAAGCGCATCGTGAGGCGGCTTTCCCTATCTCGCTGCAGCTTGTATCAATGGTGATACCTGCCAAAAACAGAGACCACATCTCCTGAATACAGCCTGGAATGTCCTGGATCCCCGTGCACGTTTCCTCAAAAGTGTGGCGGACCATCCCGATATACCGCCAGTCAGTTGTTGCCAATACTAATATCGACAGCTACCGCCAAAGGAAGAAAATCAAGGGATTTCATGAAGAACGGGCCGGCCAAATCAGAATGCCAACACGTTGGCTTTTTCTGCGACACGGTGTCGCAGAAGGTCAGGCTTGAGTCCGTGGAACCCTCGACCCTGAACCCCAAACCTATTGTTATAACCCCTAGATTCAACAACGGGTCGTCATCCAGGATCCTCCAAGCACTGACCGTCATCAGCGTGAAGAACGCATCAGCTTCGCAGCCCATAGACAAGGTGGCAGCAGATGTTGACAGTGATGAATTGATGCGATGTCTTCAATCACGACCTGTGACTGGCGGCAGAGCTTAGATGCCAGCCTGCAGTGTCGCAGTCTGCTCGAAGTAGTCTGTCACCAGTGATAGCAGCAGTTATTGTAGCGGTGGTAGTAGCAGTAGGAGGAGGAAGAAGAAGAAGAGGAGCAGGAGCATGAAGCAGGAAGAAGGAAGAGGAACGGGAGCAGGAGCAGGTGCAGTTACCTCAGCAGCAGCTGTAGCAGTAGCAGTAGCGATGCCATGGGCACTTCAGAGACAAATTGGTGTCAGAGCATCTGAATATCGAGGAAAGACTACAGCTTGTTTTCGAGATAGCACACAGCGTCAACCATGAGCAGCTTTGCCGGAGCACCTGGTGACTTCTCTCCTAAACCCGAAACCCTAAACCCCTAAACCCCAAACACACCCAAAACCCCAAAACCCTAAACCCTAAAGCCCTCAACCCTGAACCTGCCAGGTGAGAATCCTGAATACCATCTGCAAGAAGACCTCCCTGGATAGCGATCCTCCAGACAGTTCACCTCACTATGACGAAGTCGATTCAGGTCGGAGCTCTTTTTGAACTGGCCCACGGCTATTCTATCATCATCGCAGTGCATCTATTTGATGGGGTTTCCTGATATGTTCTCGCCAGAATTGGGTGTGTTTCTGCATTTCTTTGAATAGCTTGCTGTGTCCTGATAGGCAGACAACTCTTCGAGAACGAGTCAGCATGGTTCCCTCTCTCTCTCTCTGTCTCTCTCTCTCTCTCTCTCTCTCTCTCTCTCTCTCTCTCTCGCCCCGTACATGTACGCATGTGTTTTTTTATGCATGTATGTATGGATGTATGGCTTGAATCCGAAACCCGCTAAACCCGACAAGCCTAAAAACCCGAAAAAATGCCAGAACCGGGTCTCCAGGACTCCGCGCCATCTTCGCCCTCTCGGCCTTGCCGATCTGCGCGAAGCGCGGCCTACGTGAGGCCAAAAGAGGGTGTAGTAGCTAAAGCCACGTTATTGCTTGCTGTAGTACGGAGGTGCCCCTTAAACTGACAGCCCTAAACAGGTGCTATGAGGAGGATTTTGGGACCCTTTGAGGGTTTAGGGTGCTTTTGGGTGGATGACGAAAGTTGTTCAGGTCGGGGTTACTGTAGGCAGGATTCGACATTGGGGTTGGTACGGTCTTTGCTATAAAACAGAAACCCGAACAAGTACAGCTGCAAGTTTTTGAGCTGCAGGGTTTTTTGTTCGTGTCATGGTATGGCTCAGGACTCCTCAATTGTTGGCTTTTTGTTGAGGGCTTGGAGAGGCATAGGCTGCATTGGGGCTCGACCGAGGAGGTTTCTGCGTAGATGCTATGCCAGAGCACAGGATCGGTTCAGAGTCCAGAGGGGCTTTTGGGTTTATGGGGGCTGGGTTTTAGGGTGGGCAGGTGCGAAGACGAAGGGCTCTTGACTTGGTTAGCCAGTAGTGTTTTTGAAGGTGGGGTGGGGGGTGAAAAGGTGGGTGATTTTCAGGGGGGGGGGTGCGCTGGGTGCTGTTGGGTTGCAGTGTTCTGTTTCTTTGGTGGGGGTTCCATGGGCGGAGGTTTCTTGGCGGGCTCATCGAAGTTTGTGTGCAGCTTCCGATTCTGCAGGCCTAGCATGTGTTTGTATGGAGTCTCCAAAGAGACCTTCAGCCTTCACCGAGAGGACGCCTATCCCTAAACCCTCAACCCCTCTCAACTTCGTCATAGTTGGGTAACACTTCTGATCTTTATGGGTACTTGAACCCAATAAGGAATAAGGAATAAGAGTGTACAAGTTTGATCCTATCCCAACAATGAACTAGTAAACGGCCGTAAACCCTAAACCATGTCTGCCTTGTGCAGGAGCTCGGGTCCATTGCTGAAGTCCTGCGCAAGGATGGGCCGAGATTGCCTGGGCTAAGCGGGAGATGCTGTTTAGGGTTTACGGCTGAGGGATTACTGTAGGGCTTGTAAGGATTGGGTCCATTAGGTGGGGTTTAGAGTTCTTTAAAGTCGGGTTCATTGTGAAGTTGAGACTTTCTCGTTGGTTCGGGACCCTACGAGAAGGTCATCGGAATTTCCAGTAAGTTGGACCTGCCAGGACACGCGAGAAAGGGAGGCTCTGAATCTGCGACTCGGCCGTCTTTCGGAGGGTATAATGTATGCGCTTTGAACTGCACAGGTTCGTTTAACAATTGCAAAGACTGTTGGGGCCTACGGCATATGCATGCGCGGACTTATGTAAGACCTTTATTCAGGATGTAGTGTGCGACGAGGTGCATGAGGAACCATATTCTTGGCCCCACGGTCCTAATTAGGCTTTCCCAAGGAACGGTTCCCAATGCCGCATCTCCCAAGTAAGCATGTGTTTGTGCTGGCGTCAACGAAAGGGGCTCGGGGGGCCAGCAGAAAAATGGAGCCCTTGCAGTGTTTATCGGACACCCAAATTTGCTTTAATACAGGTTTCAGAAGCATGTGAAGCTGGTTGCAAAGCTGTTCCACAGTTCAGAGTTTAGGGTGAACTCTAATCTCTGCACCCATAAGAGCCGAGTCAGTTGTACTGCAAGCTTCGGTCTCGAGGTTGCGACGGCCTGTGCTCTAAACCTTGCAGATTCTGCATCCGTGCAGAGCCTCCAAAACCTCAGGCCAACCAGCCAGGCCCATCCACACTAAAACCCTACAAACTCCTAGCTTCACCTTCAGAGAACGAAGACAAACCACACAAAAGCAACACAAGAACAGAACGTGACGACACACAACACGAAGAAAGCAGAGATACCGTCTCAGGAGTCTCAAGGCCCCAAGGTCAAGGCGTACAAAGAAGCTGGGTGAACAAATCTTAGGGTATTTTTTCAAAAACGAAGCTTCCCAGGAACCTCACGGACATGGCGGAGCTCCGGGATGAGCTGCTTGGGAGCCTGGCGCCCACCTTCCCTCCCAAGCTCCAGGAGCGTTTCAGAGGTACAACCATGCAGGAAGAGAAAACACCAGCGTAGGTATAGGTCTGTGTAGGTGTAAATGCACCGTTGTCGCAGGTGTGTGTATATATGTATGCAGTATGCATGCATGTATGCATGCATGTATGCATGCATGTATGTATGTATGTATGTATGCAAAGACAGAGTCATATCTGTATGGGTGTATATGTATATACACAAATATGCATCCACATTGTTCATTTTGAGCTCCTCCAGTTTTGGGTTTGGGGGTGAAGGGGCCCTAAAGTATAGGGATTTCCCTTGAGGCCCTACAGACATCTGGAATATGCTCTTAACAAATGTGTTCGAACGCCCCTGTCGATTCTAAAACTCTGTCGTGGGACTTGGATGGTTATGGTATGGCTTTGGTTGCCTTTCTAGGGTTGTGGCATGGATTTACGGTCACCTCCTTTTTAATCCTTTTTGTCGTCCATACAGTCACAGACTTTCAACATTCGGCGATCACTTTAATGCTTCAAGCGAATCTCCCTAGTATTTCTCCAAAATACCATCACAAGATCCTTGTTTTGCTCGTTTCATGTCGTCTAGAGATGCACATTCCGACGCGCGTCGTGTTGTGCTTCATGATCTTCATAATCATGTCGTTCAGCTGGTTTTCAGCTAGGGGCGGAGGCCTGCGCACCGGATCTATTGTAGGTCTTAGAGCGATTTTGAAGGTGCATAGGGTTCAGAGGTTAGTGGTTCAGGTTTCCGAAGCCTTCTATACATAGTTCTATTATATACCCATAACCTATACGGCACCTCACCTTTCCTTCACTCCGCCAGGACTTGACCTTGCACCTCACGCGCTGCGTCAAGATTTCGGATGCCGGGATTCAGGCCTCGGGCTTTTGCTGCGGTTCGCAAGAGTCGGGCAAGCGTTTCGGTGGGTGGTTGTAAGAACCAGGGAGAGAGAGCCAGCATTCCGATGCGGTCGTAATCTCCTGCAAGAGCGCCGCAGACATGTGTAAAATGTGTCACGTAGGAATCGACGGCTGCTTTTACTATATATACCTACTGCAGCTGCGACTGCTTCTTGCACCAGCACCACCGCGACGTCGGGTCACAGTGCAACGTTTCGATATGCTTCAAGAATACCTAGGTGTCCATACAGACAGAGACTACACTTCGGGCTCCAAGAGAACCAGCATCCCCGCAAATCTAAGAGGGAAAGTCCCAAAACCAACCAAGCGTTTTCTGGAGCAGGCACTTTGCAAGTGCAGCTTGGCTTTTTCAGGCCTGGATCTGTTCACAAGAGTTTGTCAATTGTGGCTTGTGTGCAAGCTCCACTTTTGAAAGACAGGGCCTCAGGGCTGCTTCAAGGTTGATAGTCTATGCCTTCAAGATGCTGCCGCCTTGCTCTGAACATGTTGTTGCCATCATCATATCACGTCCTTGACTTATGATGCTGCCGAACCCAGACAGCGGGCTCAGAGGCTTGACACACATCGATCATCGAAATCGTTGTGGTAACCCTACGCGGCGTTTAGTGTTTTTCGGCCTCTGTCCGGGGCTTCGTGGCTTGAAACTAAGGCATGCCGAAGGCATTGAGGCGAATGTACGTCGCCTTCTTCGGATGCGCCAACCTCACCGACGACGGTATGAAGGCGATCGGGGAGGCGCTGCTCCTCGGACAGAACGGGAATGTATCGCTTCCCAGGGCTTCTATAGTTCTATAGTCTATAGGCACAATACGTCCCTGAAGAACAGAAGCCAATAACACAAGCCGTAGTAGTGGTCTTGTAAAGAATAAGAACAGTGATAACAATTCTAGTTGTCAAAACATCCCAAGGCATAAATGAGTATAGTAGAACTTACCATTCGTGCTGTATGTGTGAACAAAAAGGCATGCACCAGAATGCAGTTTGGTATTACAAGTAACTATACATGGAACACCTATTATTACGACGGCGGCCACCACCAAGAGGAGGAGGCGTCCGCGACGGCGACGACGCTGACGACTACGTCGCGGAAGACGGCGATGCCGACAAAAGGGGCCATGACGACGACCATAACAAGAATGTCGAAGACGAGGCATTTCCGTCGAGCACGATGACAACGATCATGAGCTTAACTACCATGAAGACTCCCAGACGCTGCCGCCGTCACCGCACCCAAGTTTTTAGCAGTTTGAACATGGCACTGATACACACCAACAATCACAGCGACTCTGTTCCTTTGTCCTCCATGCATGGAAGAACAAAGGCCTACATCGTTGAGGCATTTGCGGCTTAGCTTCGGAATCTTGTCTGCAGAAGACTTCCGCCGCCTTCTTTTGGTTCCCGAAGTCGAACCAAGTGCAAGTCCGGCTCTTACACCACAGGGTTCAGGGTTTGGAAGGGAGTTTAGGGCTTGGGTCGGCATGGTCTCTATGTTGAACTCGATGCCCTCTTTCTGGCGTTGCCTCGAAAGAAGAATGCCTGGAAGGCAATGAGCTCATGCAGATCTGGCTCGGATTATGAGCCAGGTTCAACCAGCCTTTTCAAGATCCCCCTATTCTCTGGACAAGGCAAAACACGCATAAAGCATGAGCCGTGGTTGCAAGGATCTTGCGCATGTTCTTGTAAAGTACTGACATGCAAGATAGTGGTGGACCAAGGGCAACTCTCAGCAAGTAGGGTCATTTGTGGACCAGCTGTATTCTGTTCCATGTACATAGCAATGCCTCTACTTTCCCATGTACTGACTTCTCGTATGTCCTCATTCTTACAAATATAAGTATTTCTTATTGTGAAACCTAACCAGACCTGGAAACCATATGAGCCTACTTACCGCTCCTCCTCTTAGACCAGGTGAGTGCCGGCAGGTCACGGACGCAGGCGTCAAGCACCTGGCCTCCCGGCTCCCGAAGAAGCTGGTGGACTTGAACCTGAACTTCGAAGGCACTTGTTCGGGTAGAGGGTTTGTAACTGAGGATTTAGTATTTGAGGCTTCGGGTTTCAGCTTTAGAGATTTCATGGGTTTGGGGCAACGGTAGCGTTGATTTGGAACTCGTCCAGAGTACTCTGATGAGAGGCCTTATGTTCCCTTCAAGTGGATATTCGGGGTTCAAGAGACCTGGGTAGGGTTGCAGCGCTGAGGTCTTGAATAATTACCAGCATTCTTCCTTCAGGCTCCTCATTACACTTCGAGTGTAGTATGCCCAAACAGTCTAAGTATGAATCCTGTATTACAACAGAGTTCAGTGCCCCAGCTCAGGTGAAGCAAGCGAAGTTTCGTCTTGAAGCCAGCCTCATGTCCTACAGTTCTCGCCGCTTTCGGAACATCTGAGAAACGTAGTATAGAATATAGAGGCAGTTTTGATTGTCACACTTTCTGGGTTCTGACTGGACTAGTTTTGTGGAGCCCGAGCCCGATTTTTTTCCCGAAGTCCATTGGAAAGGCTGCGAGCTCCTTGGGGAGGAAGCTGCGGCATCCCTGGGGAGAAAGCTCCTCGAGCTTTCATGGAGTTTTAGTCGGAGTGCTAGTTTGTTGATTTTTCTCGGTTGCGGGCTTATACGGGTTATAAGTCTGCTGGTTTTGACTAGAAAGTTTCGAGGTTGCTTCTTTGTCATCTTTTGTCATAGTTGGGTAAAATTTTACATCTTTATGGGTACTTGAACCCAATAAGGAATAGATATGTACAGTTTTAATCCTATCCCAACAATGAACTAGGTTTGGGTGTTGGAGTATGGGGCAATGGGGTTTCAGGCTCAGGCCTTGGCTGTTGAACGCCTGGCAACTTGCAGATTTTGGATTCGTGTGGGCCCGACTCCTTGGGAATGATTTTTGTTCGTATAAAACCCAAGAGAATATTAACAATCTTGTTGCTTTTGTTACGGTTTCTAAGGGGGTACATTACAGTGGAGTTTGCTTCCTTTGGGAAGTCGAGGTCTGGAGAGTTTAAGGTTCACGGACTGAGTATTGAGGACGTGTGAGTTTGTCGTTGACAGGATTTGAGATTCTTGGAGCCGGTCTATCAGAAGTAAAAGGAACTTCTTACAGCACATTCTAGATGGCACTTTCGGAACATTGGAAACTTCCCTTATGGCTCTTACAGAGGTACCTGGTCATAAATGCGTTTAAGGGCCCCAAAACTCCAGCCCAGTACTGCAAAACCTCAAGATCCCCCAGCATTCCGACCAACCTAAGGCTTCCGACGACGCTGCAGGCGTTGGTGCTCAACTTTATGGGCTGCCACCACGTCCCTTAGCTGAAGTCTGGGGTACCTTTGGGATTAGGCTTGGGATTGAAGAACGTCTACAAGAACATATCTATACAAATGTGTATATGTAGTGTTTTTGTTCGCTCCAGTGTCCTTTTCATTTTCTCTCCCCGAAGAACTTCGGAGGATCAGCGCTTGAGCCGTATGCTGATTGCTGTGGGCGCAAGTTGAGGGACGAGAAGCTAGTTTCGTCACTGAGACTCCTTGCCTTTGCCATAGTTGGGTAAGGAATGAAAATGTACATTTGTAGTCCTATCCCAATAATGAACTAGTTGCCACCCTGCATGTAGCCTGTGGGTTTGCAACAGTCTGCACAATGCCCAGAGGGTTACTATAAGGGCCTTAATAATTACCTAGACTATTTTGGGGGTCCTGATTATATTTATAGTATAATGGGCCCCAAGACCCTATTCTAATTATTAAGGTCCCTATATTACGAGAATGTCGATTTCTCTTCGATCTACACCCGAGGTATCTGACCATGGGGTAGCAACTTTGGCAGAGGCGGATGGGCAGACAGCTGCTTCAGTAGAGTGCTGCGAAGCAATAGAGGAAGCGACATGAACTCATAGAAGCAGGCGGCTTGCCAATGAAGGTGCACCCACAAGCTGCGTCAAACCCCGTGCAGGGCCTGCCGGAGCTGCAGCAATTTGATTTGGGCTGCTTTGCCATCGCAGCCTCCGATGTTGGGGCAGTGGCACTTGCAGCAAAGCCTTCTGGCCTGTTTGCGGAGTTCGCGTGTATAGGGTGTTCGTGTCAAGGTCGAAGCACAGACATTCGGATTCGGGTCAGGATCACACAGAGCTTATAGAAGAAAGATATGCTGCAGGGTAAGAGACTCAGAGCTCATGGCAATCGATGCATGGAAGAGGTCCTGAATAAGAAGAACCTAAGATAGGGCGACTACAGAAAAGTGTCCAGGCAAAATTCCGGCCTTTTGAACACATTTCGAGCCCCGGTCTGTGTGAAGCCTCACCTTCGTCAGAATCCGTAGCGAATATAATCGCCACAAAGTTTCATCCAAGGTTACCGACGACATTGCAGAGCTTTGCGTTGGACTTGCGGAGCACGAACCTTGGTATCAACAGGTCGTGGAGGTTTGTTGTAAATCTGTGGTCGCGGTTAGCGTCCTAATCGTTGCCAAATTAGCTGCGCTAAGCCCATGAACAGACTCCAACATGGAACGGCCGATGACAGTGGTTCTGCGAGAGCTTCCAGCAGAAGTATTTTTGAGGATTCCTCAACCCGACATGATGAACCATGCCAACCCCCGACATCCATCATACTTGCAATCTTTCTGCTGTCAGCGCTGCCATTACCTGCTGATAACGTGTTCTTTCACTTCGCATCGTACTTCCTCCTCGCCTGGGTCTCCGGCTCACCATTAGATGCTGTGCAGCTGAGAGCTATTCTTACCAGCGTTCCTTAGGGACGATTTTCGAAGTGCTTACTACGGCAGTGTTTTCCGTCTCAGTCCGTAATGACAGAGTTCGGACATTTCCACAGGAACGTCACGCACGTGGGCATCTCGACTTTGGCAGCGAATGTGCCTGATGGGACAGACGTCATGTGGCCTCTCGCCGTTCTTGAGCTCGCTTAGCTTAGAGGGTTTGAGGAGGGTTAGATAGGGTTCATCTAATCATGCATGTTTCTATTTAGGCCAAAGCTGTAGAGCTGCAGGCAGGTTTCGATCGGACCGGTTTCATGTTGTGGCTGAACAGGGAGATTTGTTGACTGTGGGTTTTGCAAAGAAAGATTGCAGAGCAGTTTCGGTGTACCTTCTACTGAAATCTAACAGTTTTAATATAGTAGGGAACCCTAAGGAATGCAATGAGTGTTACTTTTACTGTTATGAGCATTATTCCCAAGCGCATGGCGCGCGGCATGGTGCGAGGCAGTTTGCGAAAAGCGATGGTGCCGGCAACACGGAGCTGACCTGCCTGAAAGACCTTCGAGTTTGGCAGGAGACGGCATACGACGTGGACTGTGGTTTAGGGACAAGCAAACACACCCATGTACACACCCACACGGCGACACAGGCCCACATGAAATAAGACACACCCATTGAAACATCACTTGTGCGAAATATGCTGCAAGGAACGAACTACGTTTCTGCAGTTATCGTGGCGGCATGGTTGTACTGTTGGTCTTGGTTTTGGCTTTGGACTCATCGTCGTCGTCTTGGTTATTCGGTTCTCCAAGGCCTGGACTGGTTGGTTGCTCCTCATCCCCGTCCCGTCTCGAGCCCTCGTAGATGCGAAGCTCGGCGAAGGAGTCTGCGCCTGCACCGTCTCCGACCCTGGCAGGGCCCCCTGCGCGGGCACTGCGGAGCAAAGCGAAGGTGGGAACTCGGTAGTGCTGATAATGAGAGAATTGTGCATCACTGAATATGTCACATGGTAGACTTTTTCATGGTTAACATGCCGGATGATATTGATAACACACGGTATATTCAGTAGACCGTGTAATTTGTAGCATGTGCACCTTTAATGTAAATACTGAAAATGGTTTCGTTCTCCACATTTGACACGGCTCTTCACTGGTCCTTTACCTAATCATTGCTCACAGGTGCTCACGGCACATAAATATCTATCTATCTATCTATCTCTCTCTATATATATATATATGTATAATATACATAATTTATATATACATATATACATATATATATATATACATATATATATATATATATATATATATATATATATCACGTATGATTAATATGTATGAGAAAGAAATACGCAGACATGACAATAGACACAAAGGCAACTCGGCGATATTGTCACGAGCGCGATATGGGATGATAGTACATGCTACAAGTCGGATGTCACTCAATGGCACAATCAGAAAACATTTCGAGAGCGTGAAGCTAAACCCGAATAAAAGTAAAGATGAGCGCTTATTTTGAAATAACTACTGAGATGCTGAGAGGCCGATGAAACCAAGGACCGAAGAATGGTTCAGCTGAGTATGTTTGGAGGAATTACAAGATTATAGATTGGCTGAAATTAATGCATCATCATTGTCTTTCTCTTTCATGTGAGTGAGAAGCCAAGCACATCAATGATGTGTCTTTTGACAGTGCTGGCTGAGAGCTAAACCTGTATTTGCAGAAGGTTGCTTGGACAACCCTGCATCCAGCCTCACAATTTAGAAGACCCCCTCTTGCCGAATTTGGTTAGGATGTTAAGGTGGATTGTCTTACGGTGGGGTGTTGGGTGGTAGCATTGTCTAGGAGGTGTGTCTGCCTGTTTTCCACTGGTAGATGAGGCTACAGTTATTTGGGCGTGCAGTTCGGAAAAGGAGGCTGCAAACTGTGCTGAGTGTTTTGCGTTGAAAGTCGCGCGACTGTTAACATGCTCGTTGAGAACTGGGATGCTCAAGATTTTGATGCTTGGGGCGCAGTGCAAAAATGCGCACTCTGAAAATGTTAGAAGAACGTGGTAAAAGTATGCTTGTTGAGACAATATTTGGTGTGTGGGGGGGGGGGGGAATGAAGTGATGCGCTGCAGGTGAAAGTGATGTGTACATTCTACTTCAAGGTTGAGGGTTTAGAGTTGCGAGTTCAGTTTAGGGTTTATAGGTTTGGAGTTGAGGGTCTCAGGGCTCAGGGATTGGAAGATAGGGTTTTGGTGTGTGGTGTAGGGCAGTGCAGGAGGGCATACACCTATTTTAAGTTTCCGCCAGGCAAAGCCAAAGGCCAGCGGTGTGCGCGGAAGAGATCTCGCCTGGCCAAAGTGAGGAAGCCTTCACAGGAGACAGATGCGTGCTGGTGGAGGGATGAAGTCGTTAGGATTGAGATTTCAGCTTACTCTCTGGTCTTCAAGCACAGTCCTTCATGTGCCGTGGCCGTGGCCAACATGCCAAAGTACTGCTCCCATTATGACTACGACTACTTACTACCTGTGATTACTCCCGTTTGTTCTTTGCGTCCTCAGCTGAAGTCCAAACAACCCTCTCCATTTGTACATATCCTGAGTGGCCTGCTGGGGTCACTGGCCAAGCCAGTCGACATTAAAGCGCGTCACCGCGGGCTTGCACCCTGTCAAAGCGCAGATTATGGCTTTGCGAAATTGCCGTCTTCAGAGTGCTTACACACGGGTTCCTTTCGGCGGCCGCACGTGGAAGCATTCCTGGAAGCTGCAGTGGGATGTTGGTTTCAAAGAACCGTACTATGAAGAATTATAGCAGCACGCACACGTGCCCACGGAGGGCTAGCAATACGGCACTTCCGGTAAGTTTCATGACGTGATGACAGTGACGGTAAGAGGTGACTATATAGTGACAGTGCCAGGTGGTGCCGTGCACGTTGCACTCTACCTGAAAGCTGCACATAAACCATCTAAAACGCCTCAACTTTGTGAAACCGTAGCGGTAGGTTGCTTACCGTGACTGTTGAGGCTGAGAAGGTAGGACACGTTCCTGACTCCTCTTGTTCGGCAGGTTGTTTGCATGTTGGTGAGCCTGACACCCACAGCCCTAAGCCACAGTGGACTTCAAACTCGTAGTCATGGGGCTCTTTGCACTTTTCCGCGCGGTCCAGGTGCCGAGCATCGTGACGGAGGGACTGAGGCCAGTTCGTTTGAGCACTGGCGCTGACTTTTGTCCAGAGTTTAGCATATAGGACAAGTTAACTGATGGAACGCGACAGATTTCAGGTTGCCTAGTCTGAGAAGCAATGCTCCTGCATGTTTCCCCCCAGGCGGGCCTTGAAACACAGAAACAACACCCTTCCCACGAAGCAAGTTAAGTATAAGGCTAAAGTATCGAGTCAAGATTATAAGTATGCTTTTCCATTGCCGGCATTGTGCCCTGATTAATGGTGCCCATATAGAGACTATGCTATGCCCCAAAGCTTTATTCGAATTATGCGGGCTCCGATTGTATATGTTCACACTTTCCTTTTGGCGCAGGTCTTGGGGCCAGCTCAAGAGCAGCATTCTCCCGATGGACCCAATGCGCGCCCGTCACGGCATTCCGCAGTTCAGCTGCTCCATGTGTTCTGTTTAAGTCTTGTTTTTGAGGGGTCTGGGTTTATAATTAGGGCGTAACGGGCTTACAGTGAATCACCAAGAGTTGGAACATGAGATTCGGATTCTTAATGAGGACTCCTACTTCTACCTCAAGGCCATGAGGATAGTGATGTGAGGCTTCCAGTTTCCACATACCTGACATGTTTCAACATGCACTGCACCGTTCTGCTCCTTGCATCACACCGCTGAACAGAAAAACGTCGAGGAGAAGGAGGAGGTCATGTCGTCGTGAGGGTTACAGCAGTTGTGGTTGGAATGATGATGACGGTTATAGTGGTGACGATTGTTGTTGTTGCTGCTGTTGGTTTCCATGTGACTTTTGCCCTAAGAGCTAGATAGCTCCTCTGCCCGTATCAACATCGGCATGGACATTTGGTGTTTCTGTTTGTGCTCCTGCTTCTAAGATCTATGACTGCTCATGACCTGAATTCAACAGTTCATAGCCCCGGTGGTCCTAAAACTTTTTTCATGAACAGGAGCCACAGCACTCAGCAAGACAGTTCCTGGACAGTCCTTTCACCTTCCGGATCTTCATGGAACTATTCAGACCCCGGCACGCACCCAACCTTAATGTCGGGATCGCCGCGAGGCGACATTTGTTCAGCAAGCCACCACGTTGCCAGGCTTTTCTTCTCTCTGACGGCGCCATTCCTGCGGCCACCTGGGGGGGAGGTGCCCAGAGACCCAAGCCCACCATTGATTTTGAGAAGTAGAGTTCGAGCCTCGTTTTGGAAAGGGGCTACGTAGGGGCTGCAGCTTGGCGTTCTGAATTTTGTTGAGCCAAATCCTGGCAGAGGTTATAGGGGAATGTTTTTGTTGGTATACCGCCTACAGGGCGGGACGATCGCTGCACGAACAGAGAGTTCGCTGCACAAGAAAACCAAGACCAGATGCAGGTGGGGTTGGTCCGGGTTGGTGCATCTTAGAATCCCCAACAGGCCACATTTCAAATAGATAGTCCGTAATTAGGATTGGTTGTACAACGAGGTCGGTTTCAGGCTTGTTACAACTCCAATCGAAACTGGCGACAGGCGCTGTAGACAATGAGGTTTCAGAGGACCTTGTTCTATAAGCCGCTGGCATGTTGCTCAGAGCCGTAGCGCTGACCCTGAATCCTAGTGTTGCTGAAGCCCTAAGTTGTCAGACAGAAACCGCTATACATATCTGTATATATATATATATATATATATATATATATACATGTATACATATCGATTATATATATATATATGTGTGTGTGTGTGCGCGCATGCATTTTTATTTGTTTGCTTGTTCTTTCCTATAGTTTGATTTTGTTTTGAGTGGGGTGGGGGGTGGAGGCTGCTCAACCCTGTCAGGTGCATGCAGCTTCGGCGCTCCTGCCTCAGAAGTCTTCGAATCCCGAACCATGCGCTGCTGTAAGGGTGTTTCAGGGGCTTGCATATTGGGTTTCAGAGCATTTTCAATGGCTTCTTTATGCTTCCTTAATGGCTGTTTGGATCTACATAGGGTAGTTGCGAGTTTCATGGCTTGACAGGGTTTTGCGAGGGCAGGAGGAGGGAAGTCAGGTGGCAGCTGGCACCTGTATGCATGCATGACTATGTTCTGCATGAAGCACTCTCTGTAGAGGATCAGGGTATGAGCCTTGGCCACAGAGCTTCACCCCGCACAGCTGCTAGAAGTTTCGGTTGATCCTCCGTGAGCCTTCGAGGGCCACCAGTCTTCAACGTCCCTGCTTGGGCTGAGGTCCGGCAAGACCTGCTTGGAGACCTGCCTCAACTATGGCCTCACTTGCCTGGACCAGGCCCGGCCGGTAGGCATTGTGTGCATACCACGAGTACCCGAGTTTCAGAGAACAACCGGCCGTACTATAGGCCTTGATTCTGATTATATAGAAGGAGCGGGGCCGTAGGATAATGGCAAGGTACCCTCTGTTGTGCTTTGCTCTCTAACTAGCGCTGCTTCTTCAGCTTCCCTTGTGCAACCTGGCAGATGTCATGAAGTGCCATGGTTACGTCTGTCGGCTACCTCCTACATGGTTTTTGCACGAGTATCAACAGATTCGGGTTTCGACAGAATCTGTGGCGATGCATTAGTCTCCCTCTACTGGGATAGCTCGTGTAAGACACCTACAGCACACGACCTTAACCTTAAAGTGCAAGTCCCAACCCCTGAAGTCCATTCCCTGCTGCCGCGAACTTGCCGCCAAGCCCTACATGTAATGCCTGAACCCTAGGCCCGAAATCGTGTTCATGACCAGCATCTCGCCCCACAGTTGAAATGGCGGCCCCTGTTGCAGGGCTTTTAGGCTTCAAGGTTCCGGGACTTACCAGGTCTTTTGCCCCTGTTTACGTTGAGGCCTAATTATAGTTTCAACGGAGCAAAGGAGAAAGTTCCCTTTTTGCTCAGGGGATACTGGGGGAGCAACCTAGTGGCATAGTCGACTCGGGAGGATCTTCTCTTCATCAACCACTGCGCTGCCCTGGCAACTATCTTCAAGTGCAGAGCCTGCGAACCAGGTGCTTTTGGACCAGGGAGGGCGGGGAAGTTCGTTGTCTGTACATCGCAAGTGTGTGTTTGCTGCTTCTTGCTGCTGGCTTTGGAAGTCCAGTATCCACAACGCCGGCACGACTGCCATAATCATTAGAAGTAGCCGTAGCCCCGCTAGCCATGCTTGAAGCATGAATCGCCATAGGAGTCAGAACGACTGCATGCTGACTCAGGATCGTGAATGCAGACCTCAGATGAACCCAGAACCGCAATTCGTGTCTTCATTTGGACATATGCGGACTGCATCCTGTAACCCTGGGTTTGGAACCACAATCAGGGCTCCGGGCGAGAGACACGGAACTACAGCCATCATGGCCTTCATAATCACGAAGATCATGCTGACATGCTTCACGCAGCAAGAAAGCCACGGCTGATAGCAATGACACTGCATGTGAAACAATGTGATCTGACTTTTCCGCTCTGACCTATCATGCAGCAGGTTTGGACAATGCAGGAGTTGATCAGTCCGGGGTATGCACGGAGCTCGGCCATTTTTAAGTAAATCCTGTTCTTACGAGTCTCGAGGCGGGAGCACACAGCTTGCATTCACAGGTTCCTAGAGGAACACCCTTATTGTCGCGCTAGTCAAGCCCCGCGCCCCGAAGGAAGTCCACACTGCCAGGAACCCGACTTGGAGATCTGAAGACCCTTTGTGTAAACTCTGATTATGGGACCCTGTCCATTTTCATGATATGGGTGGTTGTCAAAATTAGAGTCCCTTTTCGGGTTCCTCATATAGTACGGCACCTAATATTTAGGGTACCCAGAAAGGGACCCTAATTTTGACGACCACCCATATAAATGGTAGAGGATCCCAAAGTCTATGAATACCCCGCTTTTTTCTCATGCCAGCGAGGCCTCTTCAAAGTTTCGGCGTCGGACCTGCCCGGGCAGCCAGAAGACCTGTAGCTAAGTTCTGAGCCCCAAAGCCCGAAAACCCGAATCTCTTTCCGGACATGGTTCTTGTGAGTGTTGGGAGTTCAGGGTTCGAGGTTTAAGGCTTGAGATCTTCAGTTGGCTGATTCGCTCACACAGCTTTCGATGTCTGTTCAAAATAAAGTACGGCTGATGTTTGCTCGAATGCTCAGCATGAACTTCGTGTAAGTAGGTATGGGCAACGATGTTCAGTGTTCCTTACGGTGAAGCCGAATTTCGATTCACCCCGGCATGTGACATTTCTCAGACGTCCGTCGTCCATGCACTCGTTTGTATCTTCTTGGCTCACTAGGGGTGGTGGTGGAGAGCTGTGCCGACATGGTTCCATCCAACAAGCAACATAGATACATTGGTCTGCAAGCCAGACAGCACCATCTGCATTCGCCACTGCAACTTCTGAAAGAACTCTAGCCGCTCTAGCCAGTTGACCGCTTTGCTTTCAAGCAACAGCTATTCAGTGCTCAAAGGCTTCGATCAAATCAAGACGAGCTAGCGACCCTGCATCTTGTGTGCCGAAGCTCAGCAGCTTCACGTGCCAAGTCACTCCGGCCGTTTGACAAAAGCCAGCCTCGCACTGCATCAGTTCATGATCGTACTCATACGTAGGCATGACATGTAACACCGAGGCGCAGACTTCATGTCAGTCTCGTGCAAAGCATGCCTGGTGAGTAGTTGAATGTATGACGTACACTAGACGTAGTCGAAGCCGTCGTTCGTGGTCGGAGCAGGCATAGGAGTAGGAGTAGCAGCGGCAGTTCACTAGCAGTAGCAGTAGGATATAGGAGTGGCGGCAGCACCAGTTACAGGAAGTAGTCGTCGTCATCGTCGTTTGAGCAGTCGCGGCAACAGCAGTGGTCTGCACGCATTGTGTATGAACTCACGGGATGAGACATGCTTTCATGTACAGATTATTTTTGTAGCTTGCATGAGACAACACTGCTTAAAATGAAAGTGTTGACATGCGATAGTCGAGTGCTGACTCGATTGTTCTCCTACGACGTAAAGCCTGCTCAGGTCTGGGGGAAGTCTTTCTATCCGCCGCAGCTTTATCTCAGATCTTCGTTTCTTTTTCCGTCCAAGCACGAGGAGCGCCAATGCTGCGCCAGCTGCCATGGGCGCTGGGCTGGTTGGCCGCTTCTGAGGCTGCAGCTGCAGTGACCCTTGCCAGAGTTTGGATATCACAGGGCCGTGAAAAGGTCAACGTGCAGAGAAGTGAGATGCATCTTTCGAGTGATTCTGGGTTAGGTTATGATCATCCACTTGGATCCCAAGTGGAGAGCTTGAAAGTTTTTTTTCTAGATGCCCCCTGGTGGCTCAAGTTCCAACATGTTTGCATGAGAAGCAGCTCCCCAAGAAAGTCATGTAAGAATAAAAACTAAGGCCCAAGTAAGACAAGCCCCCCCTCAAAGCCCCCGAGCTGCCCGATGGTTTCGGAAGGTGCGCCCCCGCAAGTTTGCTAAAGGGGTTGGTTTTGGGTAAGTTAGGGTATTTTAATTCTGCCAGGTCAGACATGGTCCGTGATCTTTGTCGCCATTCCCATCCAGGCATCGTCAGGAGCTGAGTAAGACACCCTAACCTTAAGCCCTAAAGCCCTAAAGCCCTAAACCCCTAAACCCTAAACCCCTCGTTTGCGTCGTTTTGCAGCTCGGTGAGCCATGGCCCCAACTTGCTGGGTGAGCCATGGCCCGAGCCTGCCGAGTGAGCCATTGGCCCCAGCTTTGCTGGGCGTGCCATTGGCCTCGGTTCCTGGCGTGCCATTGGCCCCAGCTTAGCTGGGTGAGCCATTGGCCCAGGATCTTTGATTGACTCGGGTGTGCCATTGGCCCCAGCAGTGCTGGGCGAGCCATTGGCCCCGGTCCGCCGGGTGAGCCATTGGCCCCAGCAGTGCTGGGTGAGCCATTGCCCCGGTCCGCAGGGTGCGCCATTGGCCCCAGTTCTGCTGGGTGAGCCGATGGCCCCGTGCTGCCGTGCCGTTGGCCCCAGCTTTGCTGGGCGAGCCATTGGCGCTGGTCGGGTGTGCCATTGGCCCCAGCTGTGCTGGGTGAGCCATTGTCCCCCATGCTGCGGGTGTGCCTTTTGGCCCCAGCTTTGCTGGGTGAGCCATTGGCCCCGCTGTTGGGTGTGCCATCGGCCCCAGCTTTGCTGGGTGAGCCGATGGCCCCAACAAGTGCTCGGGTGTGCCACTGGCCCCAGCTTTGCTGGGTGAGCCATTGGCCCCGCTGTTGGGCGTGCCATCGGCCCCAGCTTTGCTGGGTGGCCCCAACCAGTGCTCGGGTGTGCCACTGGCCCCAGCTTTGCTGGGTGAGCCATTGGCCCCGTGCTGTCAGCCATTGGCCCCAGCTTTGCTGGGTGAGCCAGGCCCCGGTCATTGGCCCCAGCAGTGCTGGGTGAGCCCTTGGCCCCGGGTTTGCTGGGTGTGGCCACTGGCCCCATCGGGTGTGCCATTGGCCCCAGCTGTTCTGGGCACTGTCGGGTGAGCCATTGGCCCAGCTTTGCTGGTGAGCCATTGGCCCCGCCTTAACCCTAAGCCCAACCCCAAACCCTAACCCCTAGACCCTGAAACACTAAAACCCTAAAGTGGTAGTCAGACTCATTCTCGCCTAATTTAATTAATTAATTAATTTCGCGAAGGTCAGACAACATCGCTGGTCTCCTCGACGATGTGATGGCGCCGTGGAGGTGGAGGCTGGAGTTTGCACGCACCTTTCGGCCTGTGCTAGACTTGCTTGCAAGCTCCTTTGATCGTCTTGATGCTGCAGGCAGTTCGGACCATCAGCTAGTCAGTGTAAGACATCGGCGATGATTAGATTTCAGATTATGATTACAGTTACATGATGATGATCATTGATTCAGGAGTTTCATGACTCGTCTGACTGCGTGTGGGTTTGAGTGAGTCCTCTAGCTGTGTGTCAGACACATTTTTGGCCATGGTGCGCCAGCGCAAGCCCGAGCTCAAAGGGCTGCCGCACTTCAACACCAAGCGTCAGACTACGACGCCACTCCCGTCGGTGCCAGAGGAGGGCGCTCGTAAGACGACAGAATCGCCGACGGGCGCTGAGCCGAAGGACGACCCCATGGTTGGCATTGGTCAGACGGTTGGCATTGGTCAGACGAAGACGACGTCAAGGTCGCCGTCGAGGTCAAGGAGCCCCAGTCAGACGAATTACACTCCGACTGAGCCGGCTATGACGCCAACCTCGCCGGTGTCGTCACCGTTCGAGGAAAACCCCAGAGAGCGTCTGACAGCGATCGAGCCACGTCTGACGTTCAAGGCCGCGGCAAAGTCAGAGAGCGTGGCATCGGGATCGAAGGCAGCGGCGTCAGATCCAAGGGCCAGGGGCATTGATGCGGACCTGGTGTCAGACTCACCAATGCCAACCCCGGCAAAGGCCAAGCCGAAGACCCCCAGTGGGCCGTCAGACCACAAGGTCCAGGCCCCGGGTGCGAATAAGAAGAACCAGAACAGACGGTGGAAGGTCAAGCCGACCACTGCTGTCAGACGATGGTCAGCAGAACCATGGACATGGAGGCAGGGAGCAGCCCTCGTGACACTCTTTGTTATTTCGCTTTGGCGGGCACAAGACGAGGACGTTGTGGAGAATCCTTGTCTCAAGGTTTTGGATCAAACAACTTCTCAGTAGCTGCCGCAGGTCAGGTGTCAAGTATACTGCCGCGCTGTCATTTTAATCAATGAAGCATGTCGCATTGACTTCGCCAGACAGACGAATCCTGAATCTCAGCGTGGCAACTAGTTAGCCGTCGTGGACTTTCTGATTCTGTGCTGTGGGAGTCTGTGACTGCCAGCTATGGTCAGAAGCAAGGTGGTCAAGCTTCCAACCCATTAGGTTGGTTGTGGCACACCTCGTCGAAGAACTAATCCCTTCCCCCTAACCTTACACCCCCCTAGTGTAAAAACTCCCGGGCCCCAGAATTTCGCGATTTCGGGCCCACAATTGAAAGTTAATTAAACACATGAGTGGGGGCTAGGATTGTATGAATTTTAATGGACCCCAAGATTACAGCTGTACTAAAGAGACCAGAGCTTTAGGGTTTACGGGTTTAGGGCTCAAGGCTAAAGCTGTAAAGGCTTGTCGCTTTTTAGGAGTGCCAAGCGCAGCCGACTGTCTTTCTGTACAGCTGGAAAATATGTGAAGCGCGCGTAGGCGCAGTAGTCAAGCGATCGCCGAAGAGCTGGTTTTTCTGTATCATTTGTTTGAAACCCAAGAAATCCCTCCTATGGTCCTTAAACTCGGCGGAGTGGTCTAGGTAGTGGTTCAGGTACTCTAACGCGTGGGCTGATACTAGTTCGGACCAATATCTGGAGGGGTGACCTCTGTGACGTGATTTGGTAAACTTAATGCGATCTTTGTATCCCGGAGAGAATACCACGTGGTGCATTGGGGGGTTTGGCGGAGTGGTCGTGGCTTGTATCAGGAGTTTGAACTGTCGGGATAGAAGTGTTTGCGAGTGAAGGGGGGGTTTGCCTGCAGCAGCCCATACAGATTTGTTGGAGATTCTGGAGTAGTATGATGCCTTTATGTTGATAGCTCGTCTGAGGTATCTGAAGTACCACCCGTCTATGGTTCTGAAGTGGTGTTTTTCCAGGGTGAGGGTTTCGAGGGCGTAGGTGTAAACCGGGACGATGCAGGCGTGGAAGATTCTAGATCTCACTGCACGGGGTATTCTACTTTGCCATACATGTTGTAGCTTAAGGAAGGCGGCGTGGGCTTTGGATCTGGCCGTGATGGCAGTTTTGGTAGGCTTATCCCAGGTAACTTGGGGACCAAGGTACTTAGTTTCAGTGTTATGGGGTACCTGAAAATTGTCTGCGTAGTGGAGATGTCCTGGTTGGGTAGGGTGGCGGAGTAGCTGGGTTTTCTCTAAGTTAAGTTGTAGTCCATACAGCGTGGCCTCTACCTGTACGTGTTTTAGAATCTCTTCTAGCTGA